CAAGCTGGCATGGAGATCTGGCCACGCCCGTGCAGCGTAATGGAAAACAACATGCGCGCTCTTGTGCCGCTGACCAGGCAGACACTTGGCTCTCAGGCTCACGTGGTCACAGGTGGCAGCTGGCGGACTTGGGCCTGAGCTGGGCCTCTTGGCTCCAAGGCCCAGGCTTCTCTCTCCAGGCCGCACGGCACCCCTGACTGGTCAGAGGGAAGCGCGCTGCTCCTCTGGGAACACCCCGCGGCCTTTTCCGTTAGAGTCTCCAGCACACGGCCAGCCCCTGCCCAGTGCCACCGACGGCTCCCAGAACACGGAGGAAGAGTTAGAAAATGGTTTCCTGAAATGAAGGCAAAACAAGGAAAAACCCACGAGGCTGTGCTTATGAAGGGACGTTTGTTGGTCTCGGGTTCTTGAAATTATCGGGTGTTCTATGCACAACGATGGACTAAAAAGATACCGAGGAGAGGTCAGTGTGAGCAGGCTGTTTTGTCCCTGGATGGGTAACGTGGTCGGTGGGAGCGCTGTCCCTATACACCAAGGTGGCGGGTTCGATCCCCGGTCAGGGCGTGTACGAGAATCAACCAATGAACGCATCACTACGTGGAACAACAAACCAACGTTTCTCTCTCTCCTCTCCTCTCTCTCTCTAAAGTCAACAAGTAAAAATGTCAAGAAACGTTTTTCGCGCCTCATTACACTCTCCTTGCAGAAGGTGGGACTTTGGAAAATCAGCTTTCCTATGACGCTCCCGTGAACACCGGAACATCGGGAACCCACGCAGGCCAGCCCAGGAGGAGGAGTGGCCACACCGACCCGAGTCCCTCCAGTTAAAGAAAGACAGTCCCTGACTCTTAATGACCATCTGTGACGAAAAGCACATGAAACAGCTCCCTGGGAAAGGTGAGAAAACGTCAAACAAGAACCATAGATTAGAACAGTGCTGTTCTTGCTCAGAACCACTGCGTGTCTTCCTCGGGGTGGACAGGGGTGAGCCCGCCGCCCCCTGAAGCCTCCCCCTGCTCCCAGGCCCTCTCTGCTGCCCAGGTCCAGCCGTGCCCAGCTGCCCAGGCCCAGCCGTGCCCGGCACTTGGCACTGGGCGCCGGCCTCCGTCTCCACCTCCACCTTCACCTCCACCCCCACCTCCACCTCCACCTCCACCTCCAGCTCCAGCTCCACCCCCACCCAGACGTTATCTGGGTCAAGCACACGGCCAGTGTCCACTCAGCACATCGCTGGGAGATGGCTGTTTTCTCACGCGATGATGTAATGGGTAAGCAATCACGCGAAGCTCTGATGATCCACGCAAATGTTTTCTCAACAAATACGGACGGAGCGCCTACTGCAGACTAAGGAGTTTCCATCGGCACCAGGCGGGGAGCGCGCAGGGATGCAGGGCGTCAGAGCCAACACGGCTGGCGAGAGGGCGGGGTGGCCGGCACAGGGAGCTGGGGGACAGGCGGAGCCCAGGGGCCGTTCGGGGCCGTGAAACCAACTCAGTGTGATACCGAGATGGGGGACACGGGGCTTCATTCCTTTGTCAAAACCCATGCAACTTCTGCCCAACATTCAAGTGGGTGTCTGCCTGGTACGTGGCTGGAGTTAGCAGGTCAGCACGGGAAGTGGAAATGGGGCGGTGTTCTGTTCGGGAAGCGATGTGGAGCGTGAACACAGCACTTCTCACACCCCTTCCCACACGCCCTACAAGGAGACGGCGAAATGCGGTCTTTAACTGAGCGGCTCTGGGCCCTGCTCAGGCTCTGAAAACAGGCACCGGTGTCCATCGCACAGAGCAAGGAGGCGGAGTGAAGTCCAGGGGGAGGCAGCTACTGCCATCACACGTCTCGTATGTTTTGTGTCGTGGATCCCCACACACTCTTCACCACAAAACACAGTCCTGACGGGGGTGGGGGCACCTCCTCACTTCTCGGGGACGCCCAGCCCTCCTCAGCCACTGATCGGGCATCGAACCGTGACCTCCTGGTACATAGGTCGATGCTCAACCCCTGAGCCGTCTGCCTGTCTCTAACTCACACCATTGGTCTTAGTTCTGACTATGGAGCCAGAAGCGTAAGTCACGCTCCCTGTCCGCCTCTCAGACGTGCGGACAGCTGGCCGAGCCTGGCCGTCCACCGCGCTCAGCACACCTGAGCCTTCACCTGCCCCTGCGTGGATTCTCACTCCCTGCCCTGTTGGCTCCAGTCCACCCACAAACTCCAGCTCACGGCGGTCCCTTTACCCTGTGCCCGGAATGACACACCCCGCCCCACCCCCGCCCCCCACGCCTTCTGACGGGCACAGGGCACGGCCAGACCATTACCTCCCGAGTTCAGGACACTGCGCTCTTATTAACCAGCCCGGCCAGCCGTGTCACGTGGCTGTTGGCTCATGTGGAACCCGCCGCCAATGAAAACACCCAGATCCCTTTTCACACTTAGGCAACTGGTGTGCTGTCGCATTCCGTCAGCCACTCGACACATACTGCCTTCAAGAAAATTATTTCCACACCCACAGCTGACGGTTCTCCAAGCGAGGGCCGGAGAGACGGGGGAAGCGCAGACTCTGACCTACGGTTGAACCTGAAGTTGAAATCTTCCACGTGAATCTCAACGGTAACCGTAGTCTGCAGCAGCGAGTCGCTAAAGACACGCAACCACGCAGAGGCCCAGGGACACGTCAAGTGGGAACCTCGACAGACGAAGGAGGTAGAATCCCATCACGCCCACCTCCCTGTTCAAGGGAGTTGGTTCAGAGAGGCCCGGAGGCGTTTTCTGAGAAAGAGGCCGGTCATGACTGTCCCCAGTTTGAAAATCAGTGCAAATCAAGTCTTCAGGTCAGAAATGTTATTCTTAGGAATCATGGAAAAGTACTGGGAGCCACTGCCCTGACACATCACACAAGTCCCTTCATGTCCCAGGTGCCACCTTCCACACAAACACACATGCTTTCCTGAGAGATGGAAAATACTCAGGAGTTTTCCAGAAAACTCTGAAGCCGCCCAAACTGCTCTAGAATCACAAGATGCCTTTACTGCCCCTGCCCTGGCCTCGCTGGTTTTCCACGTGTTGTGAACTACCTGTGGCGGCCAAGGACCGAGCTCACCTTGTGCATTTGGTTTCCAGGCCTTGCACAGTCCATTCATTACTAAGAGCAAATGCAAGCTCAGAGCGGGAGGGACCGCCATTTACAACATGAACGAGGACACGGAGCCCACAGAAGTCCCCCGCCCCCCTTCACCCAGGCGGGCTGAGCACCGTGAACACACGGAGCTCGGGAAGCCGACCTCAAGTTGGTGGAAATCGAACTGCGAAAACAAAAGAGTAAAGACTCAACCCCAACTGAGATCAAGACAACGTTCTATGTAGTGGCCTGGTGTCTGGGGGGGTGTTGGGGGACAGGGACTTTGGGGAGAAGGAAAGGAAAAGGAGAGAGAGGGAGTCGGATACCTAGACGGGACACGTATGCATTTAGGACAGTCACCCACTGTGACTGGCCATGTTTAGTCCTTCCAGAGCCGGGCGGGCTGGGGCTCCAGGGGGAGGGGAGCATGAACCGGCCCGGCCCACTGAGCGGTCCCAACAGCCGCCCTGGGAGGGAGGGGCCTCCTTGTTCACAGATCGGAACGAAAGCTCTTTCTCGAGGCCCAGGCCAGGGCTGTGCTGGGGAATCTGGTTTGTCTGCTTCAGACAAAACTAGTTCATTGTGAAGCAGATCAGTTAAGAGCTTCAAAAAAAAAAAAAAAAAGTGAGCTCCTGTGAGTCACGTGGAGGGAAGGCTGGGGATCCAATGTCCTCCTAGAAATGGGCCCCGCAGAGGGGACCTGGGCCAGGCGGGCTGGGGACAGGCGGGGCGGCCTGCGGTCCCCCACCCTCCGTTTTAATTGTAACCTTGGCTTTCAGGCCTGGGCAGCCGACAAGGATTAGATAAGCCACATCCTCCCAGGCCACACCGCCCGGGACAGGGGACCGCCCGGGGATGCCTTCTGAGGACTCCCACCCGCCCTTGTCCCCGCCCTGCCCCACCGGCTGCTGTGGCCTCTGGATGGAAACTGTGTGAGAGGAGCGCCAGAAGGAGCGGGAGCAGCTCAGAATCGCTCTGTGAACTCCTGGGAACAGGGAGACCCGCCTGCAGCAGCAGCTACAGGCACCCTCGCTGAGACCCGGACACTTCCAGAGACGCCACGAGACACCCAGTCGCACGCGTGGTCCAGACAAGAGCCATGAGCCAGCTCCGTCCGTGGAGCACACAGCCGCCGGGCGCCGCCTCGGAGACCACGCGGGGCCCACTGCGGTGGCTGCCCTGCAGGTGGCCTGTGTCCCGGCTGCCTCCCCGCCCAGTGCTCACGGGGCCTCCCAGACTCAACCTGGGAAGCAAGTGCCCGCGGACTCGGAGTGAGCGGGACACTGGGGTTCCCTCCATAAGCGACGCCCCCAGGAGCTGGGAGTCACCGAGGCGGCGGCCTGAGGGCACAGCCGGCCGCCCCTCCTCTGACCCGCCGGCAAGCAAGCCTGGAGACAGCGCGAGGACGCGTCCTTCTCACCAGCAGTGACCTCCGAGGTCTGACCTCAGTGTGTGTGCGACGCCGGGAGGAGGAAAGGGGGGACCCAGACCAAAGGACAAAGAGCCGCCGAGCTTCGTCCTCACGTGGCCGCCTGACCAGGTCCCCTCGGGACACAGCACCGGTTCCGTAAGGGCCGCCCGTCTGGACCAACTGCTTCCACGCACCACTCAGCGCTGGAACTGCTGACAATTCTTTCCGTCTGACGAGCAAAAGAATTCCCAACTGCTCCTCAGACTTGATATTCTTGCCAAAGTGTGAGTGTGAGTGAGAATGAGTGTGTAAGCGTGCATGTGAGTGTGAGTGCGTGTGTGTGTGTGCATGTGTGTGTGTGTGTGTCATGGCTGGGACTTGCTGAATCTCTCATATTGCAAACATGACCACGACTGCTTACTTTCAAAACCGTGGGGAACGAGGTGGATGCGGCGTAGACACAACACACATGCATAACAGAGTGTTTTCTTATTTTAAAAAAATACTGGAGATTAAGGTCTGCAGAAAGGCCTGCCTGCTAAAGCCGAGGACACAGCAAGCGCTTGGAAACACGCAGCCCGACGCCTGGGAAATGTAAACGTGGGAACCACGTCAGCGTCGGAGGAGCTCAAGCCTAGCCGGGCCCTCGCCCCGGACTGTCCCACCGTGTGACCGAGGTGCCTTGGCAGACGCGAGGACAGCGTGCCCGGGTGATTTCTAATGCGGCTGCATGCGTCCCAGGCCGGGCTCTGGCAGCCAGATGACAGCAGCCGGGACAGCCGGCGGCAATGAACTTGCGGAAAAATCCTGACCGCAGAGGCTCCAAGTGCAGGCAACTCTGTTGACGATTTTACTTCTGCTTCATACTATGACCCAACCCCCCGGGCCCCACCCAGGACGCCCCGCCCGGTCCGGGGAGCTAGAAAGGACATATTCCCGCAGCGGCACCCACCAGGCTACCTGTGCCTGTACCAGGGACCAGAGCGGGGGGCGGGGACGGCTGACTCACAGGCACAGGAGAGCCGCTGGCCCGGCGCACAGACGGCTCGCTCACAGCCTGGATTTCCTCCGTTAAGAGGCAGCGTGTGTGGTGGACAGCTTCCTGGGAACCGCCATGTGCGAGGCTATTGGAATGCTTAGTCATTCAGAAGAAGAAACTCCGTCCCAGGTCATTCGGTTTATTTTTCTGTTTGATTTCGGAGTCTGCTGCCACTAACCGTGCCGGGGATGGGGCCAGGTCATCTGTCCTGAGCCGCACACTGTTCCTCCAGGGCTACCCTCCTTCCCGAGCTGAGGAATCTGACCTTGGATCCCGCCCAAGGTCACACGCCAGGGAGAGCCTCGGCCCCAGCATGAACCCAGCCTGTCCTAGAGGCGCCTGAGCCTCTCGATTCTATTGGCTCCATGAAAATCTGTGAACGAGAAAACAGACACAACCACCCAAGGCACCGTGGCAGGTCCACCACATGGTGGACCTCTGCCTCTCCAAGGGTGAATGACAGCTGCGGTCAGGTCACCCGCGGGCTACGGGGCAGTCCCAGCTGTGTTTACCTAACTCTGCTGACGTCATCAGTGCTTACAGTTCACAGTCCACGCAGGGCCCTGCACCAGCTCTCACAGCTGGTCACTACTGGCCGCAGAGCACCCAGCGCCCAGCATGGGGCCCTCACACGGATGGAGAGCTGGTGACGAGACTAGGACGGCAGGAGCTAGACAGTGCTGACCATCATCCCTGCTAGGAAAAGGCATTTTATTTTACTTTAAAATTTTCATAATTGATTTTTAGAGAGACAAGAACGGAGAGGGAGAGAGAGAAACATCGATGGGCTGCCTCCTGCATGCCCCCGCACCGGGAATCGAACCGGCAGCCTTTCGGTGCACGGGACGATGCCCAGCCAACCGAGCCACACCAGCCAGGACAGCAATAGACATTTTAAAAACATCCCCCCTAGCTGATCTGTTACTGAATTATGACGTACTCAGAGAGTCTACTGCTTGCTCCGTGTTGTGCATTTAGAAATAGACGATGATGAGCTGGAAGTTTCTGTGCCCCAATGGAGCGTTTTCCGAGATAACGAACATGTTAATAAACTTTTGCTTGACTTAGGACTTCCTAGCCGTGTCGTCATATGTGTTTAGGTGATAGCAGCACACAGATCTTTTTTAAAACCCACCTGTCACCACACGGTCACCTCTGCGTGTTGTGTGCGCACATGTGTGTGCTGAGAACTAGGACCTCCTCTCTTGGCAAATCCCGAGCCTGCGTATTGGCAGCGTTATTAACGACAGTCGCTGTGCTGTGCATTCGACCACCAGGAACCGCTCAGCCTCCAACTGCGAGTCTGTGCCCTTTGACCCTCTCCCCGCTCCCCTCCCCCCGGCTCCTGGCAACCAGCGCCCCACTCTGTGCCTACAAGCTCAACTTTATATATTTTTTGGAAGTTTCCACACATAGGTGAGATCATACAGTACTTGTCATTCTATGTCTGGCTTATTTCACTTAGAATAACGTTCTCCAGGCCCGTCCATGTCGCTGCAAATGGCAGGAATGCCTTCTTGTCTCACTGGGTGACATTCACCGCAGCTCACCTTCCTCCTCTGCTCCCCCACCGGCGGGCACGCAGGCGTTTCCACGTCCTGGCTGTCGGGAGCCGTGGTGCCAGGGGCGTGAAGGGCAGCGACTCCAGGAGATACTGGTTTCGTTCCTTCGGGGTCCCCTGCGTCGGCACATGGCGCTCGGGCCACGCACACCCCACGCGCAGCCTTGCTCTCGGCCACAGCAGGACCTCGAGTCTCCTCCTGTGCGAAGTGAGAGCTGGACCACGGTCCCTCCCTCAGCAAGTGCTCATGGGGCGCCAGCTGCACCGGGCAGTCAGTGTGGCTCTACCGCTCAAGAAATCGCTGTATTTTATGACGCACGGTCCTTCTGGGGTACGTGTTCCTGGACCCACACGCAACCACACTGCTTTCCTTACAGGCCCCCGATTCCAGCAGGCCCCGCGCCCGTCCCCGGCCCTGCCCACGCGCCACAGGATGCCCCGGGTGTGCGCGGCTCCAAGGCTCTGGTACCGTCCTCGGGCCCGGCTGAAGGCACCGTGACGCGCCAGTCCGCGGGGAGGTTGCGGGCTGAGACGGGTGACACGGCTGCCTGGCCCTCTGCCAGACCATCAGGCGCAACCACGTGATAGCCGAGCCCAACACCACGGTCCCAGAGAACCACGCGGCAGACACGCCACCGTTCGCCGCCCGCTCTGCCATCCCAACACCCGGGCACAGTGCTCCCCGTGGGCAGGCCGCTGCGGTCGGAGAGGGAGGGTTCCGAACAGAGCGGACGCCTCCTGTCCCCCCAAAGCCCGGCTCGGGCAGCTGGGCTTCCTGCTGGTTCGCAGGGAGCAGAGCGGTGAGGGGTGACTTAGCTCAGCGCCGCCCGGCACCCCCAGGAGGGGAGAGAGGGCAGGGAAGACGGGGTGCTTTGTGTGAAGTTCGGGTGCTTCCCCAGCAGCGAGGGAGCCCGTTCCCACCCGGGCCCCAGGCTCCGCTGGGCAGGTGCCAGGTGGGGCGGCGAAGGCGCCTCGCATGCCTCCTGCTTTCACTTGGGGAGCGCTCAGGGCGGACAGGCCGGGGCAGGTGAACCTGGAATGCGGGCCCCAGCGCACCTCCCAGGAATGCTGCCTCCCTGCCGGCGCCGCGCTTGGCACGCAGAACCCGGGCGCGGGCCGGTGATCTCAGAGCAGGAGGAATGGAGGATCCGCGTGCACGCCGTGTCTCACCTTCAGCGCGGCTGATGTGGCGGGCGGGCTGTCCTGGGCGTGAGCAATGTTCTGTGCATCCCTGGCCCCTACCCATCGATGCCAGTACCACACTATAGTGTGAAAACCAAAAATGACTCCAGACCTTGCCAACTGCCCTGGGGGTTCGGGGATGCCCGCAAAAGTGTCCCCCGGGGAGAGCCACTGGCCTAGACTCCACATCCTGCTGTTGTCACTGCATTGGTGCCTCCGGTCCTAGGCCGCCCGCAAGTCCTAAGTTTGAAGGTCATGCCTTGCGTGTAGGTGACAGTCATTACACTTGGAGAACAGACGCCGCTCAATTCGAAATGGGTAGAACACACCAACAGAGCCATGCTTACTCTTCCTAAAAGACGCCAGTTTACCATCCGGACACGTAGATGCCACAGTCTATTTTAACAACAACAAAAGGGGGCTACAGACAGCCCTCCACCCCAGTAAAGCCACGGGCAACGCCAATTCCCATTTCCCGGGGTAAGATAGGAAAGGAGATTTTGTGAAATGTTTAGGAGCAAAATCAAGCCCACTTCTCTCCAGACCCTGTCTGCAGCCAGGCAGACCTGCGTCGTTGTCCTGTTTTGATTTCTTCTGGTTCCCTCTATTTTATGTCTTCCGGTGGGAGGGTTCAAAAATCACCTCATTGCTGGTTCAAAATGTTCCCCGTGCACTTACATAGAATGCACTGCGTGAACCCCCTCCGTAAAGGAGACTGTCCCCCACGTCCACGCCCCACGGGAGGATGGATGGGAATCGGGGTGTTGGGGGGGGAAGGCGTGCATGGAGTGTTGAAGACCATGTGATACTTGAGACATGAGTCAGGGAATTAAGTGAATGTTGCTTTTCCTGCCCTCGACGTTCCATTTCATTTCACTGACAACCCGTCTTCTCACCACGGTGCCAACTCCGGCAGATCCGGACACACGGACGGACGGACAGGACACGGCTCTGCCTGTGGTCACGGACTGTCCAACGCTCTGGGGTGGAGCGAGCTCGCCGGGCACAGCATCTCCTGAGGTTCCAGTCCCTGCTTACTCCCCGGCTAACTGAGCGTCCAGCTGACTTTCCTTTGACGTAATGTTTAAGCGTTGCCATGGCTGTGACGGCCATCATGGCCTCATCCTGTGCACACAGAGTCATCAGCTGTCCCTTCATCACTACGGGGCCTGCGCTGAGCATCTATGACTCCGAACCGCCCGCCCATGTCTACGGATTTGAGTTTTTAGAGAAAATAGAAACCCAGGCCCTGCGCAGTTTGGATGATGGCGGGCGCTGCAGAGAACTCTTAGGCCCTGTGCACTCGGACATCGAGTCACGGCTGCGTGAGGTCAGGCAAGGCTTTCCCTGATCATCCCATGTTAATCCAACTGCTGATTCAGCGAAAGGACTTTGGAACCCATGGGTGTTGTTTACTTAAGAGGTGATTCTACGGGAAGTAAATAAGTAAGAAAGCTCGCGTCACGCTCCCGGAGACAGGCCTGTTTGCCTGCACCTCAATCCAGGAAGGCCAGTGAGAAAATCCCTGAGTGAAGGCCACTCCAACCGGATCCTTTGCTGGTTTCAACCAAGTCCTTTCCCCCACTTTTTTTTAATACACTCATGCTTGTCAGCGACTAAGGGGGTTAAGATTTCAGGAGTCTGTATGGAATGCAAGCCCCTCAGTGAGGTTCGGAGCACGCAGAACGTGATTACGTGGCACCACTGAGTCCATGGCTGAATGGACCACATGCTGTCTTTTCGCACAGAGCGTGTGCCGAGCGAGGGGCTACGCCAGCACCTATCCCCCCTTCCCCCTACGCTCACGCCGTTTAGATGCCACAGCGGAAGCCCGGGCGTCTCGGCCCACGGCTCCCTCTGATGGCTCACATCTACGCAGTCAGTGCCACTGCCATCAGGTGTGCAGGCACCACATTCACCGCAGCAGAGGCCCAGGCTGCACTGGCTCAGGGCTGCCCACTGCTGTGGACTCAGGGGTGGACCGGGAAGTGGCCAGGGTCCCGGTCACAGCCTCAGAGGTTTCCACAGAGAAAGCAAACACACTCCTTCTCACCCAGCGGATGCGACTCCTCGATGAGTAATCGCAGCATCTTCTGCTGCGGGGCCGCCGCCTTCACCTGGTCCTGGGCGCTGTTTACCGCGGAATTCCCCGTGGCCCCGTGACCCTCACCCGGCCGGCGGCATAAAGGAGACACGGAGGCCACGGAGTCTCTCCTGCTCCCGTAAACAAGATGAGATAAACAGCCAGGGCCGACGTTTTGTTAACCCGAGGTTTTCTGGGAAGAGGCCTGCTGTCCCCACAACTCGGTCGGTGGAAACCCACATTTTACCGAAAAGCAAAACCCAAGACCGACTCCCCCCAGGACTCGCCGTGCGGCCTGGAATGCAGAGTGAACGCCAGCTCAGGAGGCGCGTTCACAGGTCGCTCTGCAGCATTTCAAACCGGTTCTGACACAGAGCAGCGACGGGTGAGGTCATCGCCAAGGCCTGCTCCTCCCATTTTTTTATTTACTGAAGCTCCGACCCAGTGGACGTGTTTTTTTTTTTTTTCGGTTTTATCAGGGAATTCACACGATTACGCAAACCTTCCAAGCCCACCTTTTCCTTAAAAAAAAATGTTTTTATTGATTTCAGAGAGGAAGAGAGAGTTATAGCGAGATAGAAACATCAATGATGAGAGAGTTTCATTGATCGGCTGCCTCCTGCACGCCCCACACTGGGGATATCGAGCCGCAACCTGGGAATCGAACCCGGGACCCTTTAGTCTGCAGCTGACGCTCTATCCACTGAGCCAAGCCGGCCAGGGCCCACCTTTTCTTAACTGCGTCTGAATTCTACCCGACTTCCGCCCTGGGTCCCAGGATGGCTATGTCTTTGAAGAAAGGCGGCGGTTCCGAAGAAAGTTTACAGGCAAATAATCCACTTTTTATATTTTCCTGGGGTAAAAAGCAAGTCTTGCTTCTGACCAGTTCCCAAGTCCGGTGCAGAAATCTCAGCCACGCCGTGGGGAAACACACAACGACAGCGCTCCTTTTCTCCTCCTCATTTCTCTCAGGGCCACGGGGCCACGTGACTGTTTACAACGGTAACTTCGTTAGGTGGAACCTGCACACAGTGACTGTGACTTTTTGCTAGAAAATGGCATAAGTCCCAAAGGACTTAGCTTATCCTCAAAAAGGGTAAATAAAGCCGTAAACTCTTATAATAAAAAGAAAAAAAAATCTTAGGAAATTCTCGGGCAGAGCGGCATCGTAATTGCCCCCCTCCTGCCCAATGGCCTGCCGAGTGGGGCTGGGAGCCACAGGGACACTCAGGTGGGGCACGGAGTCCTGCTCAGCCCCCGGTGGGTGGATGAGGGTGCCCGCGGGTGATATCACCCCTCGGGCGGCGGGCCCTGGGCGTGGGTTTTCATTGCTGCCCATGGGTCCCAGGCTCCAGGCGGATGTGCTTCCTCCCGGTTCCGGCCCCGCTGAGTCATGAGACTCAAGTTGTCAGTGCCGACACCAGGGAGGTGTCCCCTGGGGTCCACAGGACACCCCCCCGGGGAGGGGGCCCCACATGGCCTCGCAGGCTGTGTCCTTTCCTCACGCTGACCCACCCGAATGCGTCCTGTCTCCGGGTCCCCTCCCCAACGACCTTCTCCCTATCACCCCTCCCTCGCTTAAGCTTCAGGGCCTCAGTGCAAGCCCCCTTCGAGGGGCCCACACAAGAGGCAGCTGTGTGTCCCGGCTCAGGTAAAGGGCCCAGCTGGGGGCGCGCCTCCCTGCCCATGCTCCCAGCCAGGCATCCAGACATCCACCTTAGCATCGGCATTTGGAACCCATGGGTCTTTTCAGGAAAGCGGGAGCCACTCTCCTGATCAGAAAAGAGAAGCGTGGTGGTGGGGGTGGGCGTTCGGTGGGGGGCGGGCGTGCGGTGGGGGTGGGCGTGCAGTGGGGGTGCGGTGGGGGGCAGGCGTGCGGTGGGGGTGGGCGTGCGCTGCCGGCTGCCACACCCCACGGTGAAAGGCTCTCCCTTCGGAGCAGCAGACAGAGCTGGGAGAGAGCTGGACGTTCAGGGCGGATCTGTCCTGTGAGCACAGCGCCCTGAGGGTGGTGACCCACTGCCCCGCCCGACCCAGAGAGCGAAAGGGGAATGGGGCGATGCCCACAGAGCCATGCAAATGAGACAGGGGAGCCGCTCCCTGTCCGGGAAGGCGGGGAGTGCCGCCCTGCTGAGCACACGGCTGTCCTGGGCCATCCGGGCTGCCGAGGGCCTGGCGCAGGCTGAAGTGCCCACTTCCACCCCGGGCGACAGCCTCACCTCCCGCCACTGAACGGGGCGGACTGAACGGGGCTCCGGCCGCGGGCTCCCTGGGCAGAGGCTGCACTGTCCCGGGGGCCAGTCCCGCAGCTTTTGGGGGCAGGAAGGCAGCCAGCAAGTCGGGCTCGCCTGTGGGGCTGCACGGAGCCGAGGAGTGACCACCAAAGACGCACATTGGGCTCTGCCCAATGAGACCAACGCACTAAGACACATGTCCCCTCTGGTGCTGCCCGCCCACCGAGTTCATGGCCGTGCAAGGGCGTCTGTGTGAGTCGGGATCCAAGGCTGAGAGCTGGCGGCTCAAGACACTCCCCCAGGAGGACCTGTGGAGTGAGGATGCGCCTGCCCCGTGTCGGGAGCCGCCGGTACCGGGGGCTGATGGCCTCTTCTCTGTCCCAGGGCATCTGCAGAGCCTGACGCTGGATTCGGGGAGGTGGCAGGGAAGGAGGCGTGGCTCCCCCCAAGGACCCCGTCTTCCCGCGGGGTCTGCAGGTGGCGAGAACCTGCCACGGCCCTTCCTGGGGGGTTTGTGTCGGTGGGAAGGAGGAGGAGGAGGGCCTCACCGCGTGTCTACCCTTTTCAACCTCCTCTAAAAGCAATCTGCAATCGCCAACTGTGTGGCTCAGTGGCTGAGCATCGACCTAGGAACCAGGAGGTCATGGTTCAATTCCCGGTCAGGGCACAGGCCAGGGGTGCGGGCTCCATCCCCAATAGGGGGCGTGCTGGAGGCAGCCGATCCATGATTTTCTCTCATCATTGATGTTTCTCTCTCTCTCTCTCCCTTCCTCTCTGAAAGCAATAAAAATATATTTAAAAACCAAAAAACCAAAAGCAATCTGTAATCATTGTAGAGTAAACTGAAGTAACAGAGTCCCACTTGGAGGCTGAGAAGTCGTTCTGCCCTTGAGACCAGAGGAAGGAATTGATGCGGGGCCTCTGAGACCGGAATTTTCTAGTAAAACCTCGGCTCTCCCTGCAGGTTTCTGCCATTTCCACCCAGTGACCACGAGCCCAGGATGGAACGCTCTTGCTGCAAGACAACCAACACGTAGAAAAGTGTGCGAGTGGAAAACGCACAACTTCGTGGATTCTTCACCAAATGCGTCCTTCTGTGTCGTCAGCACCGACACCGAGAAACGCGGCGAGGCCCGCTTTTCAGGAGACCCGCGAGAAGGCTGCTGTCCTTCAACCCAAGGCGGCAAAGCAGACCAGGGAGACAAGCCGAACACGGGAGGGGAAGCAGACCCCCGGCCACATGGGACTTGAACAGAATATAAGCAGCACACGCACATGGATCTGCAGACTACAGGAGGGCGCTGGTTTGTCTAATTAACCAACCCCTCTCTACTCTCCGTCTGTGTGTCTGTCTCTCCCTCCACCCTCGTTCCCTTTTCCTCCTCCTGCCTTCGTGGCCCTCCAATGTTAAGGACAAAAACATTTCATTTAGAAGAAAAATTAACTTCCAAGCATGTCAGACTCGCAGCCGGTGGGCTCATGTTTGACATGCTTGTGAAGGCTACGACATCTGTCCTGTCACCTCCCTCGCTGACTAACACGGTGAGCGTTCATCCTAGGTGAACACTGGATAGGACGTCAAACCAAGTATTGAGTCCTTTCCTCTAGCATGTGACCCTGGAAAGAGGGGACACCGGGGCGCCCTGAGCCTGTCCCACCACTTCCTGCGAATCTGTGATTCTTTAAAAATAAGAAGTTACCAACAAAAAGCTTTGCTACCGCAGCAAGCCACTGCGCTGTTTACACAGGGTGGTCAGGCTTTGTGTACAGTATGGCTTTTGTCTAAGGAACTAGAATTTTTTAAAAAGTCTTAACTTCTCTCTTAAGTAAAAGGATATTATTGAAAGAAATGAGGTCACCGTATTACGTTCACACAAATACCTACTCTAACGTGTCCTGACGGTGAGCTCAATGCTTAAACACATCACCCAGAGGCCACACAACAGTTAACATCCGTAATCCCTCCTTCCTAACCATGTTTTTTCTTCCCTTCTTAACATTAAAAAAAAGAAAAGCTAACCGTAAAGTTAACATTCAGAGAAAGTAAATGTTTGCCTTGCAGAGCCTTACAGGTGAGGAACGACGGCCGCTGCCCGCGGTGTCCCCCGTTTGCCAGCGGACCCCCTGCCCCGCCGCCCAGCCCCGCGTGGCTCCAGGACCTCCCAGGGGAGGACCAGCCGAAGGCGGCCCACCTTCCCACCCGCTGTGAGCACGTCCCATAAATCCTCTCGTGTTTAAAGCAGCTACGCCATCAGCAATGCCCGTCAGATAAATGATCATCGTTGAACTGTTAGCTTTTCCATTTTTGGTGTTTCTTGCAGCAAAAGCAATTTATTTTTACTCACAGATTTAAAACAACTTTAAAAATAACTTTTATATGCTGCTGCGAGGAACCAGCGTGTCTCCAGCACATGCTAATTCATGACCAGCCTGTTCTTTGCCAATGTGAGAACGAAGATAGAGAGAGAGATCGGCACTGTGTTTTCATGGTCCCACATAGCCACCTGCAGGCCTTCTTAGACGCACGAGGTGAAGAACGGGAGAGCTACGGCGATCGAGGCTGGGCCCAGGCGGACACGTGGGCCCCGTGCCTCAGAGCCACACGAGTGCACCACAGTCCACGGCACAGCTCAGCTCATTTCAGATCAACAGCACTAGAGGGATGACACATCAATCCTCTTCTCTCTTAGTGATTTTTTTTTTTTAGAGAGAGAGGGAGAGGGGTAGAAACATCAATGAGAGAGAAACATCATCGATGGGCTGCCTCCTGCACCCCCCCCCCCGCCGACAGGGAACGGAGCCCGCAACCTGGCCTGTGCCCCGACCAGGAGTCGAACCGTGACCTCTTGGTTCCTGGGTGTTGGGCGACACCCGCCTGCTGAAGGGGCCCAGGCACAGGGGAGAAAGGACGGCGGAGGAGACATGAGGACTGGGGCCTCCGCAGCCGCACAGGTGGCTTTCTGACCCCCGGCTCGGCGAGCCCCCAGCCCGCGCGTCCCGCCGAGGAAGTATCACCTTTCCTTCTCTGAGTCAAGAATGCGGGGACATTTCCCGCATTTTTCATAAATGACGCACACATTCCACTTCACGGCCAGAAAAACCCAAGGAGACGGAGACTCTGGGGAGAGCAGTCTGCACGGAGCGGCAGGCGCCTCCCTCCACCGTGTTCAAGTTCGTGTCTCGCCTGCGTTTGTGTTCGCCCTCAATGCCCAGGACCCTCCAGATGCCAGGGGCCTTGGCACCGTCTAGTTTACCCTCTGGAAGCTACTAGTAAACCCAGAAGGCAGGTCATCTCCTATCGTAACCGACCACTCATACAGGGGAAACTCCATTCAGCCGTGTCCTAGGAAAATACCTTTAGCAGCAGCACTTTGCAAGGTATGAGACATGCACATGCATGTTTGTATTAGAAATAATCCCAGGGAAGGGAAGGAGGGTGGGAGCGGGGGAGGGAGGGTAGACTGAGGCCCTACATTATTCTCACTCATAAATGGTTCCATGCACAACGTCCATTCAAGTCCCAGGAAGTGGCAGCCGATGTAAAGACACGAAGAGGTAACTAGAAAGTCTCGGGTTATCCATTAACTTGGCAGCAGAGCCCAGCCAAGGGCAAGTTCTCATTCGACGCATTTCAAAGCCCCTGAAGTCAGCACCGTAAACGCCAGCAGGTGCCAGGACGCTTCTTCAACAGCCACCGTGCGTGTGGCTGTGGCTCATCTGGCCTCAATCAAAAGCGAAAGCGAGGACAGTGGTTCCCTTGTCTAACTCTACTCAAATGCACGGAGTGAGAAAGAAAACGGGTTTTGCAAATTAGCACCGGAGCAAACTTGAGAGAGTTTGCCTGACGGCGGGTCTCGCTCGGACGCTGCAGCAGCGGCGGTGGGTTATGAAGTGTCATAACGGACGGGGCGACACTGACAGGGGGCCCTGAACCCTGCAGCTTCCAGAGTCAGTGCTGCTGAGGGGTAAGCAGCACCAGGTTTCTGACCCGGAAAACAAATCTCCCTGGAGAACTTGCTCAGACCCCGTTTACGATGGGAATTTCCCGGGCACCTTGCCGTCCCCAAGGCCCTGCACAGATTCAGTGACTGGATTCCGTCCCAGACACCACGACACGGATGCGTTTAGGGAAACATGCGGTTTGCACATGCAAATGCCGGCTGTCACCTGGGAGAGACTCTGCAGCACATCGGCTTCCCCCAGAGCAGTGGGTCCCAGCGGGGCACACGCCCACAGGGGGCAATTGGACTTTTAAGGGGGGCAATTCGAGCGAGTTATTCACAGGGAAATTTCTGCATTCCTTATGGTTCTAGGGGCCTCATAGACAATATGCAAATATATGCTGCGGCATATTTATGCACTTCAGTTCTCTATGATGTTTTGAAACTTTATTTGCTATTTTTTCCTATCACTTCGTATTATTTTTTAAACAAGTCCTCAGTGATGTCTTCCTCAGGGCTTCCACTGTCCTTTCCTTCTTTCATTTTCCTCTTTCATGGACGCCATGTTCTTTGGAAGCTTGTTTAGACCAAGTGAATGGCCTTTTAGGCTTCCTCCACGTGAACAGGAGCTCGCTTTTGAATAATAAGAATTCTATGTCACGGGTGGGGGATCAGGATTTTAGAGATGCTGACGGGGGGCGTGGCCAAAAGAAGGCTGGGAAGCAGTGCCCTAGAGCCTGGAGCGAGAGAAAGGAGCTGGAGCCAGCGGCCCCAGTGACGTCATGCAGGAGGAAACCCAGCCGCCGAAGCACGTGACGTCCCGCACGGGCAGGAAAACCTGCAGGTATCGCATTTCTGCCTTTGGAACGAAACCCTTCGTGAACGCTCTGCAAACAAGTGCTCAGAGCACAGAGGTCTAGGGGCTCTCTACTTCCGTGCAGCCGACCGCGCCTGGGAGCTCACAGCCCCGCCACAGGCTGTCCTTTGGCACGAATCTACCTGTTTGCGTCCAGGTGCTCTCTGCACCCACACAGGCGGGGCTCCGCGCCTCCCAACGGTGACTCAGGAAGTGGGGATCTTCGAGCTCACAAGCGACTGGGGCCCAATCCTCCGGAAAAGCATTTTCCGAGTTCGCGTGACTCAACACCGATGACTGAGCCGGGGATCACGCCGGCGTTCGCCTCCTTTCTCTGGGCCCTCGGTGGTAGGCGTCCCACGGAGGGTGTGAGGTCGGTGTTTGCTTATTCATAACAAGTTTTAGGGACAAATCACGGGATTGGGGAGAAATGTTAAAACTGTCAACTGTAATCCAGGCTCTAGTTCAATTCTTTACATCTGGCCGTTACTTTAAAAACACACACAAAGAAGCCAAATGACCGTTCTGATTTTTAAATGTAAAGCGTGTCACCTGGCGGGCATTTTCCTTCGGATGAGGTCAGTGCCCTCGGGCCGTTTAGAGAAATAAAGCAGGGAATTCTGGGGGCTGGCCCCGGCCCACAGGTCTCTTCTCTTCTTTCCTTGTTTGCAGTCCAGCCCTCCTTCGGAGAAGCTGCCCCCCAGGAGATGGAACCAGCCCCCCTGCTGGCTCCCACTGAGCCCCCAGATCACACCTGGGATAAGCCATCGCACCTCACTGAGCCGCTCAGGAGTCTCCCCGCTCAGCTCCTCCAGGAGATGGGTCCTTCGGGAACCTTGTTCTTTTAGGGTAAACCCAGGGCCCAGCAGGAGGTCGGCACTGAGAGCGTCCCTGCTCCTCCGGCCCTGGACTCGGGTGCGTCTCAGATGAGAACGGGGAGTCCTTTCTGCGGACTGGCAGCCGTGGACACACACGGTCCACAGAGCACTGACAGGCGCTATTGATTATTGATCAGCTGCCGATCACTGCCATGAGCGGGCTGCTGGCCACAGCTGCCCAGAACCCAGCCTCGCTCCATCCCATCGGGGTGATGACAGGGCGTGTGACAGGCTGGGGGCGGGCTGTTCCCCAGCCAAAGGCAGTATCTGCAAGGGGATTCCCCAGTGAACAATAGTTCAAGGCCATGCTCTCCTGGGCTCCAGACCCTCCCGCTAGCGCCCCCTGGACCTTCCCAACTGAGCCCCTCGAATCCGCCCAGTGACTCGGGTTGTCCTAAGAATAATGCACAGCCCCCAGGTGGACTCAGTCTACCCAGGCTTCCCGCCAGAAGCCTGTGTGCCCCCTGGGTCTGCATCTCTCACTCCTTACACACAGTTCACTCTCCCACCGGCCTGAGCGAGCGGCTCCTTCCGCACTCCCATCGCTCCTGCATCTCCATCTCTGCTCTGTGGCCTGCACTGCCCTCCCCGGCTCCATGTTGCCCCACACCCACTCCCCACATCTCATCCAGGTTCCTAGCTCAGAGCCCTGCGGCCACCCCGTCTCACACCCGGACGGCGGAGCTCCGAAGCTCTGAGAACTGCAGCCTCACCACCAGTCCCCTCTGTCTCTCCTGTCGCGGTACCGAGCTCCGGGCCTCGGCAGCGCTGGCTGCTCCTGGCGCGGCTCAGGGAATGGCCTTCGTGTCGCCTTCCCCGGCAAACACCCAGCGCTCTGCAGGCCCCAGTGAGAGACCCTCCCCTGCGGGCTCCACCTGCCCCGGTCCAGGCGGAGCTAAAAGCAAAGGCTGGTGCGGTTGGAGGCTCAGCCTACAGACCGAAGGGCCTGGCTTTGGTTCCTGGTCAAGCCATGTACTTGGGTTGCAGGTCCGATCCCCAGCCCCAGCTAGGGAGCATTTGGGAGGCAATCGGTGTGTCTCTCTCACATCAATGTTTCTCTCTCTCTCCCTCTCTCTCTCTCACCCCCTCCCTAAAAAAAAAAAAAAAAAAATGGGAAAAATATCCTCAGGTGAGAATTAACAAAAATTAAAATAAAATAAAATAAAATAAAATAAAATAAAATGAAGCAAAGGCTCATCCCAGAAGGCTGCCCGGTGCCGTCGGACCCGCCGCTGCTTCTGCAGGGTCTCAGGCTTGCTACCTGCAGCTCTCTCTTCCCCTAACTGACTGCCGGACACTTGAGAGCAAGTCCCCGTGTGACTCACCCGCAGCTCAGACCATGCACGGAACAGCCCAAGTCGCTCCCTGTGGTTCGAACACGAGGAAAAGAATGCAAACAAAGCCCGAGCCGTCATAGGTAGCGATGCGTGTCCTCACGCTGAAGGACAAACAGCCGCGGTCCCCTTACGTAACTGTTTACCCCAGCTCAGGGCCATGTGCAGGCGCAGGAGAAGCCGGGTGTGTGGTGGGAGCATTTCGGGCTGTGGACAAGGCCTTCCCCTCCAACCGCCAGGCCCCGAAACTGCAATTCAAGGTCTCGCTCATGAGACGTTCCAGATGGCGTCGTCGGAAAGGACGCTTGGGCTGTGGGGCTTCCTGGGAGAGCCCGCCAGGACAGGACGCAGTGTGGAACCCAGAGGGAAGCCCTCCCCTCCCTGCTCGCCGCACACACGCCCTCTGAGCGCGCTGCTGGCCCAGGCAGGAGGGAAGTGGGTTTTAAGACACTGTGCAGAGGCCTCGTCGGTAACAGCCAGCCGGCTGATATTCCACCGTGGAGGCTCCCAGACCGCGTGTCCACCCCAGCCCTCCGCCTCCAGCAGCCCTGGGGCACAGCTCCCAGCTCCCGGCCCCCGCCACCTCTCCTGCTCCCGGCGGCTCGGGGAACTTTCTGGACACCTGAATGGAGTGTGTCTACCTAAATGCGTAGGAAGAACATTGGACTTCATGGTCCCGACGAAGCGAGAACTTCAGTCAAACTTGTTATCTGACATGAGGGGGTGACGCCTGGATCCTGGCCCGAATCCCAACTGATCTGCCTACACCCGGGGCCAGAGGGCAGACCCCCCTCAACTGCTGTGCAAAGAGCCAACTGCTGCGATTTTCTGAGAAAGGGCAACCTTTTAGGGGGAAAGTGAGAAAGAAGGTGTGCGCAGGCGCGATGTCACATGGGACCGGCCCCCGTGACGAGCCTCCTCCGCTACCCTGCGTGTGTTCATCGTTCAAGAATAAACCCGTCGAAATGCACCGAGACCAAAACTGCTTCTCATCACAACTTCAAATGTCCACAAAGGACAGAAGGAGACAAAATCAAAAGCCTTCCGCGGCGATGAGCGGCCCCGCCCAGTTTTCTCATAACCGTACCTTTCCTCAGAGCGGGCGCCTGTGAGTAAACCTCACTCCAAGGAAGCCCACGTCTGCTGTGCTAGGTCTCAATTCAAACAGAGCCACAAACACGACCCGCACGGCAGGCCACGGGGCGCACGGAGGCCACGTGATTCCCCCGGCGGGGCCTTCAACCCATTGAGTGTCCCCGACACTCTGACCCCACTGCCCATTCCAGGGCCGGGGTCCCCGTGTGGGGTGCTTCCCTTCAACACCCACAATCACCCAGGTAAGACGAGCGCTGGCTGCCACTCCTGTCACTAACCTCCAGACACTATCTGCGGGTCCCAGAGCTGAGATCAAAGCAAAAACAAGAGAGTATTTTCTCTCTAAACAGGGCGGGACCCTTCATCGTTGCTGACACGGCCTCTACAAACATTTCAGAACGCGTCAAGTGCTGGCAGGGCCCTTCGGAAGGGAGCGCGCTGGAGCTCGGCAGAGTATGTGACACAGCGCAACTCCGACACTAAATATCTGAAGCCAGAAATACATGAAGACAGTCAAAAGTCAGGAATGTGTTCGGAGGCGGGGCTGCAAATGCATGCCTTCTCGGAATACCGCCCAGTCTTCACCTAGGCGTTCTGCAAGAGCCAGGGGCTTGCTCAGCAATCGATGGATCTCCACAGATCGCCCGAGGGATGGAGCCAGGCCCAGACTGGTGCTGACTGGGCGACTGAGATGCCTCCGGGACAGGCGGCCAGCCGACCGCAGAGTGACTGTGAGCAGGAGTCTAGACCAGGGACCGGGCACCCGGTAGTCCTCCCCAGGGACCACCCTGAGGAACCCAGTCCCCAGTCCTGTCCCTCCCTGGCATCGGCGCTCTCCTAAGGCCAGAACTCACAGGCGGCGAGGCAGAGGCGGGAGGTGACTGAGGGAGGGCTCTGGGGCAAGAAGGCCTGAGTGTGAACCCTGGTTCCGCCTCTTCCCAGCTGCCCGGAACTCACTTTACTTCTCCGACCCCCGTTTCCCCAGACATCACGAGAGCACCGCTTCCTGTGCCTGATGCAAGGGTTAAAAGGACCGAGAGGACCGGCGAGTCCATCTCTCAGAACCAGGCCAGCCTTTTCTCTAAAACAAGGACGTTTCTTGAACAAAACTGGCCGCACTTGTTTGACATGGGTCTTTACCACTCTCTGTCAAAAGCCACAGCTTGTATTTTTTAGACTTTGCCCCTGAAACGTTGGTCTTTTTCTGTGACTCTAACTGAACGACGCTGGCCCGCCTACTCCCGCTGCTGGTTTTTTGTTTTTTTCCAGGAGCATCCTGTTTTAAGCGAATACAGAACTAACAGGCAAATTAAGTGGTATTTATATTTTTTTTCCAAAACAAATCTCCCTGCACTAATCGTCGTGTTCAAAGGGATAACAGGAGGAGCTGGGGGTGTTTCTGGAGAAAAGGGGTGAGTTAAGGTGCCCCAAGAGTTTGATGTCACTCAGGACAGGGTCCGGGCAGCAGACTGGGAGGCGCAACCCCCTCCCGGCCACAGGGATTCAGGAGCCGGAAGGACCAGACCCTGGGGGGCAGGGGTGGGGGGCGGCGGCGGCGGGATGGCCCAGCAGGGAGTAGACGCCCATCCCTCTCGCAGGAGCACAGCTCTCAGGGAGCAGAGGAGCCCACGGTTATGGAAATCACCCCCAGCTCCTGTTCCCACATTTTGCAAGAGGCTTCAAACTCCAGATGTTCCCAAAGAGCCCTTTGCGTCGCCAGCTAATCTTTCCGGAGTCTGTACCAATCCTCTCCTCTGTGCCAATGATTGCCCGCACCTGGCAGCCGCTCCCCGCACCTGGCAGCAGGGCAGAACCACCTGAGGAGCTCCGAGCAACCCCCGCCGCCCGTCTCACCCCGGACAGACGGAGGAAGCCGGCCTGTCTGGGGGTGGGAGGCAGGCTTCGGGTTTTATCTGCTTTGCTTTGGTCTAAAATCCCCAGGGATTCTCATTTGCAACCAAGTGTGGCAACCAAAGCTTTAGCCCAAGGAACGCGCTCGGCCCCAGCCCCCACTCCCCGCGCCGATGACCTCAGCGGCAAGCAGGGACCTGACTCCTGCGACCGGCTGCGCGATGTTGAAATCGCGCAATTAAACCTTCCGAGGCATGTTTCTTGTTTCTCACCGTTGAGGGGGGGATGGCCGGCAGCCCTGGGGCCAGACCCGCTCTGGTCCGCGGTGGACGCTGGGCCCACGGGAGCCACAGACACCCATCCGCTTTGGCCAAAAATTAACTCGAATATTTTGGTTGGCTCAATGTCAGAACCTTCCGAAAGCGAAAAGAAACCTCCCCAAGAGAAACTCGGGATCCCGAGGAGGAAAGTTTGCTAAGAAAAAAAAAAGGCGGGGACCCGATCCCCAGGAAATTAGGCACCAGGACCCCGCGGGCCGCCCGGCTGGTCGCAGCCCTCCGGCTCCACCACGAACCCAGAGCCGCGACCCGGGCCTGCAGGTGGGGGCACGTCTGGGGGTCCCCGGAAGCGACCACTGCACCAGACCCCACGGGCCCTGGGGACGCGGGAGACCTGGAGGGAGCTCGGGGGTCTGCGCTCCCCACTTTTGACGGAAGAGGACACCACGTCCCTCCCAGGCAGCCACAGGGAGTCAGCGACCGAGACCCGCACTCGGCCTCCCGGCCCGGCTGCAGCTGCACCCCGGGAAGGGACCCGCGAGCCGGTTCCGGGGGGACGGCGCAGTGCAGGGAGGCCCCGAGGGTCCCCGAGGGAGGCGCGCACTCCCGCCTCCCTTCCCGAGGCTCCGGGACCTGGGACGCACGTG